CTGTAAGAAAATGCTGTGTGTATATATATATATATATACATATAGCCTTTTTTTTTAATAACTAAGCTAATCTTTATAATATATGTGCATATATCCTATTTTTTCTTAATAGTTAAATAACTTGTATGCGCTTAACGCTAATTAAATAACTTTCCGCTTTTGTGATACAAAATATAATAAAATACAAGAGAAAGACATGTGTATGCACCAAAAATATTTTGACAGACTTTAGCATAGTAAATAAGTGTGTGCAAAAGTTTAAGTATTTTCTTTTCAAGAAATGTTTTATTATAATCATTGGTAAATCTTTATAAAAAGGGATCAACTACCTATGATCTTAACCTTGACATATATTATAAAGATTAGCTTCATGAGTAATTTCTAGAAGATTTTAGCCATTGTTTGTTAAAAAATTATTAGCTCTTGGAGAGCTAAACAGCAAGCATCGGTTTTTTCTTTCTATTTTTCTTTTACCCTGAGCCGGAAACTTATAGAATTTACTACATACGTATGTATATATATATATATAATTTACAAGTTTTTTGAGGTGGTTAAATTAGGTGCCTCACCTTGTACACACACACACACACACACACACACACACACACACACACACACACACATATAACACCTTAAAAAACTTGTAAATTATATGTTGTACGAGAAATTGTATAAAAAAGTTGCATGATTTCGCGAGGGGGTCATCAGATAGAGTATACATTTTTTTCATAAGTAGAGGCGCTTGGGAGATTTCAAGTTCAAATTCGTTCCTTTAAATGGAATGTTGTATTTTTTGTACCATCATTAGAAAGTATGTTTAATTTTGCGTTTAAACGTATCACCATTCATTGGTATAAACCTAATGGATAACGAGATATTCAAGGAGTAACAAAGAATAACAAGAAGTTGGAGATTTAATGTCCTGGTTGAATATAATAAGATAAATAAGTCAGCGATTAATCAATAATAACGAATCTTATTTTAATTAGTAATAGTACAGTTACTTTAATTAGTATTAGTACATTAATTAAATATATTACACAAATAATTAATCATAAATAATCAATCGTACTACACCTCAGCAATTATTCAAGCATACGTGATATTTTGGCAAAATATATTAAAAATGTAAAAAAAAAATAACGTAAAAAACAATGCTTATGATGTTGAGAGATTTGGAGAAAAATTCTGTAAGATGAAATCTTTTAGCGTCTATATTTTTTTTTTATTTTCCCCTCTGTTTTGAGCAGAAGAGCTCCCTGTCAATGAGCAGGGCGAGGCTATGAGGTGTCACAATTGTATTATTAACAGGACTCTGAAAACCCACTTGCATAAAGTAGAGATAAAAAAAGACGACGTATGTTGACTATGCGACTACGGCTGTAGCGATACCGCGTGTATATATGTCATTGCCCAGCTCTAGCTTGTGAAAGATATAAACTGTGAGGTTGGGTTTTCCTAAGGTCCGAAGAACTTCAGCAAATCTTTCTTCAAAAGACCAAATGAACTGATGCACACTTGGCCTCTGATAGGAGGCCAGGGCTTAGGATCTAAGCTGAGAAAAAGAGCGGGATATTATAGGTCTACAATAGAGTTTCAAGCATGAAGCCTTAAGAAATTGACTAACCACAATTGATTATTCTCCTATAATCCAATTGTGATCGATCAATTTTTTAAGGCTTAGGACTTGAAACACCTATTGTAGACTAGGACTAAATCCCGGTCTGCAATAGATGCTTTAAGTATTAAGCCTTAAAAAATTGACCAATCACAGTCGAACTATAGAAGAAATGTCAATTATGATTGGTCAATTTCTTAAATCTTATGCCATAAATTCTTATCGTAGACCTCACTTAATGCATTTTTAGACCTAAGTAACCTTAAACGTGGTCTACAATGGGCAATAGGAATATGTTTATAAGAAGTAAGAAATTAACCAATCATAATCGATTATTCTCCTTATATTCGATTATGGTCAATTTCTTATTCTTACTTCTTACAAACATACTCCTACTGTCCATTGTAGACTAAGCTTTAGGAGCATTAGTTGCTCCACCTACTGAATTGCTATTACTACTACTTCTTCTTCTGCTTTAATATATTTATCAACGTCAAATGATTTATCATATGATCACAAGTATCATATTTATTCTATTCTATTACAACGATTAAAAACAGTGACTGTTATAAGTAAAGAAGAATAAAGGTTGGCATAAACTACTTTCAACGTATCTCTGCCATTTCCATTAGCAGAAATTTGCGTCAACCACTCAGATGAAGCTTGTCACCGCTTAGACTTGAGGTGGAAGTAGAATGAGGACAGTTGCATTTCCACTGATTTGGTTCTACGCTGGTATCAGGTGTGAATTAAGATTTCGGTAGAAACTAAACCAACGTCGCATTATCCTTAGTGCTTAATCTTAATAAATCAGTCGTAATCTAGATGTGTGTTTATTATGTAGTTGACATATTAATCATAATAAAAATAACTCAGACACGAGAACAATTTAACATAAAAAACGCATTATACGCGCGCGTGGTACGCGTCAACATAATTCTCGGAAACACGCTACATAATCTTATGAGTGGTACAATGATAAGAACGATAAGATTACATCGTGAAATACGATTTCACCTTATTGGTGTAACGCGTGAACGAATACAACGGCACTAAAAAATAGAAGAGGGAAAAATTACAAATATAAAAAAAGTGAGGAGAGGATATGAGAGAGAAAAAAAGGACGAGGGGCGTGACGTGCGTTTAAAAGTGGCGGCGAAACGTGTGCGCGACGTGCGATATATAAATGGCGCATAAATTTCGCTCGTCACACACCGCTACCATAACCCATGCTCATGAAAAAACTTGGTTAGCCGCGTTGCGATACACGTAATAATTATATAGAAAGCATATACGATACGCTATACATGCGACGCGCTCAGCATCGGACTTGATCGCGTAGTATCGTATCGCTCCTGCTAATGTTTATCCCGACGTCGCCTGTCAGCCTGTCAGACGGCGCGATACGCGATTTTCGGTAGTCAGTTTACTCTGACACGAAGCGAACCCGGTGAACACTTACACGACCATGCCGTAGGCGCCTTCGCCCATGTATGACAGATTTGTGTAGCGCGGACCGACCTCGAATGTTTGTCCGCGCACCACCTCGCAATTCGGATTTGCACTCGCAGAACCTTCGCACGCCGCCATTTTGACACTACTCACAGTGGCTCTGTGTGCCGCAGTGTTTCTGAGTACTACGCGTACAAAAGCGATAAGGAATGATATACGCTATTGACGCGCCACTAGATAGATTATCGTCACCGCAATGGTCGCGACGTCGCTCAGATACGAACGTAGTTCACTTAGGACTACAGACGCTTCGCAAAATATGGAACGCGGTCCATTTTTGGCTGCGTTTGGAAACCTCACTCGTGGTGTGTTCTCGTGATTTCGGGAAGAAAGTAGCGGCGGTACTCTCGTTGCTGAATGTTTTCGAACGCTTCAGGATGCGGGGTGACGCTATTTAACGATACTGCGTCAGGCTGCTTCCCCATGTGGCGTAACTTGCGTCAGCCAATCAAATCCACCGTGATAATTGATAATTTGGTAATTGAGACGATTTTATTGGCTGACGCAAATTACGCAATACGCCATATGGGAAGGCAACCTCATTCTCTCCTATTGTGAATGTAAAGAGCAGTGTTTGCCGGTATCTAGATAAAATTATTTAAATAATCATCCAGATGAATAAATAAACCATCTTTATCTTGATCAAGAATCGACAGTTGTAATTGCCAGTTGAGTCAGCGGCGATGCTTGTTTCGTGCTGGATTGCTTGCCGAATAGAAATATTGCATTTTGATTGGTACATTTCCAAAAATGGATAACAATACACCAATAAAAACAGTAGTAGCAGTATTTTCATCCAGCAAACAATTCAGCACGAAAACAAGCATCGTGTGCCGTTGACTTTAGATCGGCCTTCACAGTCAGTAGTCTGATTAAGCCCAGATTAAGCCTAGGCCTTATAGAAGACTGAAATAATGACTACGTTCAAAAAACACAGCGATTAGTGAGCAATGTTTGTTGGTCATTTTTAATAGATTCTTAAATTTAGAGCGATTATGATGAATTACTTAACCGTTATGCAATTTTATAATCTATGTAATTTTTATTAGTCCTAGAACAATAAGTGCTTTAAGCTTTAAGCCTGTAACTACAAATTAACTAATTACAGTCAAATGTGAACAGAATAATTAACTATGATTAATCAATTTCTGAAGGCTTAAAATACTTATTGTAGATCGATATTTATTAATTTTGATAAAATTTTTCATGAAAACAATATCATCTAAAAAAATTATCTAGATAAGTAGCGCTACTTATCATCCATCTAGATAAATTAAAAGCAAAAAATCATCATCTCATCTAAGATAAAAATTTCAGATTTTTAACTTATCTTCATCTAGTTGAATCTGAAGTCATCTAAGGCAAACACTAGTAAAGAGTAATAGAGTGACGCGGTAACGCTAAATAGCGTCTCCGCGAACGTACTCTTAGTGTAATTTCTAGTGAGTAAAATGAATAAACGATGACGGACGAGCGTCGTGCACGAAATATTTAAAAATATTGCTTTAAATCTATACAAAAGTCTTCAGCCCGTATCAGATCCACGGATTGGAAATTGAGATTGATGTGAATTTAGCCAATTAATAAAGTTAACTAAACTCAAGTTTAGTGAAGTTTAGCGAATTCTACACTGATTGGTCAAATTTCAATTCAATCTCAATTTTCAGTCCATAGTCTGACACGGGCTTTATGGCGTTTTCGTTTTGTTGATTCGACCGGGCTCGAACGGTGTTCTGCTGATCACTACAGTATTACAAACTATAGTGTACATAACTTAAACTATAGATTGCAATACTGCAAAAATTACTGGAACGCCGCCCGAGTCAGGTCGAGTCTTAGAGCATATACTACTGGAGGTAGCACGTCTCGATAAAAGTGTGGTCAGGGTGCGAGAGAGAAAGGTAGATTAGAGGTGACAGCTATCTCTCTCTTACTGAACGCTCATTGGTTGTTTGCTTAGAAGGAGAAAGGCCTATACGAAAGTTCAATTGCCGCCCAACTCGTCAGCTCGTCTGCTAGTCTGTATCATTTTGACGCGTTTATTATATTTGAACATTTAAGTATGTGTAAATAGTGCTGTTTGGTTGAAATTATTACAATGTCAAAAATTTGTTGCATCCCAAATTGTCGTATGAGACAAGACGATCCTGACTGTTTGGATTTATGTTTTCATAAGTAAGTCTATTAAAAATGAAGTTGTGTAGGTTAAGTGAACGTTTTCGTTTTCATTTTTGGTATCAATAATTTTTATAAATTTTTTTCTTTAGATTTCCATCAGATGAAGTTATTAACAATAAATGTTGCGATGCAATAAAAGATAACTTTGAAGTTTGGACTTTAAAGAAAAGCTCATATGTTTGTAGTTTGCATTTTTCAGTAGAATGCTATCAATACTCTG